TGTGTCTTGTGAGTGGGGCTCTGGCTCTGGTGTTTCCGGTGGCTGAAATGTTATCCTGGCTTCCCTGGCTGTTTTCCAGAAAGTCGTCCTTGGGTGCTGAGTCTTGGAGCTGTTCTGATACGTCACAGTCTGTCTGTGATGAGCTCTGTGGGCAGGGCTCAGCCAGGATAGTTTCCATGAGCAGTGCTTGTTGTGGCTGCGTGGTGTTATCAGTGTCTTTGTGGGATGTGTCAACCACATGATGACTCGGAAACTGATATGAAGTCCTGTCGTCACTCTGTCCAGGTGTGTGTGTGCCATTCAGGTTGAGTAGTTTGGCACACACTACTGAAGGATGACGGATGGAGAAGTTGATATTGTCCTTTAGCACTCTTGCACCAAGTTTGTTTAGGTGGAGGCCATCCAGTTTAAACAGTTGTCTATGGCCCCAGAAAAGATTGAAGTTGTCGATGAAATTGACTCCTTTTAGACTGCAGATTCTTTGTAGCCATGTGTTCAGCCCAAGCAACCGTGAAAACATGTTAACAAATAGGCAAAAAAAAACATGTCTCATTTTAAATAAACACTAATAACTGAGATGACAAATTTACTTACTTTTGCAACGGTTAAATAAATGTTCAGCAATATTTTCAAAAGATTTGTGAACTCTGGCACATTTTTGTCACTATATAGAGATGATATGGCAAGGAAATAATACAAAATGTTGTAAATTTAGTTATGTGGAAATGTTTAAATCTTGTAGTGTTAAAATTTGTGCCCCGCTCACCCCGTACATGTGAAATGCTTTTTACAGACCGTTTACTTACTGATAGGTAGCCAAATGCATATGAAGGAACAAAAACAGCGCCGAGTTCAAACGGACGATAGAAATGAATGAACATACCTGAAACAGTTTTCGTAACATTTGAATTTTGAGGTGTATGCAATCTCATGCAGAATACAGCGCAGTGAAGTGAGCATGTTTCTTCTCATTAATAATGCGAACCGATCGAGCCTTTTAATAATGACGTCGCTCTGAGACCCTCACTGTTATTACAACTCGTGCGCGCCCGTGCTTCAAAACACGCAATGCATGTTATAAATCGTGGACTTAATTGCTATTCAAAAATTGCATTAAGAATATTGCAATTCGTAATTAATGTTGATAGGCTATATCGTGCAGCCCTAGGCTGAACTGTGTGAGTGTGTGTGTCATTGAAACGCAAATTTAGCTGCAGCCAAGTGATTTTGTGCGACCCACCTTGTCCCACTCTGCGACCCACAAGTGTTTTAAGAACCCCTGCTCTAGGATGCTGTTTGTTACAGTGGGATGAACCCCATCGAAATAAGGAGGGTTGCAGTGGAACTGGAGAGTGTATTCGAATTGGATTGTGTGGAGGACCCAGCGCAACACACCTGGTAGAAGCCTCCATGTTGCCAGGTGGTGAGACAGAGGTTGCATAAGAATGGGCCCTAGCGGGAGCTCAGCCGCCAGACTTTCTATATGGCTGCCCACAAAAAATGGTGGGCACGAAGCCAAAGTTACCGGAGGAAGGCCTGAGGTGTTCATCTGGCAACCAAGACTGGCCCATGGGCCAGTGAAGAGGTTTTTCCCCCTTTTGGGGTCTGGCATAGTGGCTGGACCATCTTACACGGGGAGAAAGCCAGACGCATCTCCCGGTGTGAGTGAAGCAGCTTGAGCAAGAAGTGGTATTGAGGGGAGATGTCTCCATCTTTCAATACAGGAAGATCATGCTGGTTACCTAACTCTGAATCTCAAAACGCATATGGCGGCAAGTATAACAGATTTAAGCTCCGAAAGCATCTCAAGATACGCTTTAGCGGTCCGTTCCTCACTCCTGAGATAGGCGTAGTTCTCCCTTTCCTGACTCACAAGATCAGGAGCGAACCAGTGGTGCTGAAGCAGCAGATTTATCCGGAATTTATTGACCACTGAGCTTCCCCAAACAAACCTGACTGGGAGATGGGGTGTCCAGTAGGAAAACCTTCTCCTTTCGGCGAATCTTAGTGAGATTTAACCGAAGATGGTGTTCAACTGCGCGTGCAGTGTGCTTAGTTGCATGTAGAGCCAGATCGGTAGGTCTGCAGAGCTCCTTGATCACCTCCGGTATCAGGCCCCCGACCTCGTCCATTTTCTTAAGGACGTCCGCTTGGTAGGCCTGAACAATGGCCATGGTATGAAGCACCATACCTGCCTGACCAGCTGCTATGTAGGATTTTCCCACAAGGGCAGAATGGTCCTACAAGGCTTAGAAAGAAGAAGAGGACGGGACTTCCAAGATTGAGCGGAAGGCGGCAAAAGGTTATTGGCCAGTGTGTCCTCAACCACTGGAATCCTAGTATAGCCCGGCTCCACAAAACCAACCAGGTTCGTGAAGTCAGAGGGCGACGCATTCATCAGACAAGCGGAAAAAGGCTCCATCCAGGGCCTTAAAATCTTGTGATGAAGATCAATGAAAAATGGCAGCTTTCTCCGAATGGGGCATGAATTAGATTGGCCTCTCAGAAAACGCTCCTCAAGCTTAGAGGATTGAGAGTTGTGAGGCTCACCAGGCCACTCGATGTTAAGCTTCTTTGTAGCACATGCTAGTTCGTGGACGTACTCGTGGTCCTCCATTCCAAAGGAAACGGTGTCGCGTACTTCTGGACTGGGGCATAAATAATCCTAGAGAAATTCCACCGGTGAACCGGCACGGAGCCATCAGCCAATAGGTTGGCATGATTCTAGACGGGTTCACACAGTCAGCACTGCCAGAGGACATTTCCCATTTCATCATCACTATGCAGTTTTAGGTGAACCTATGAAAGAGAATGCATTTCTCTTTAGTATCTTGTTTAGTATGTGCAGGAAGAAGTGCTTTATCCTTTAAGTAAAGCTTACTTTGACCCGTGAGAACAGATCATAGCCTCAACACAGAGGTGCCAGATTTGTGCCCATTGTACAGTATATCAGTAATCTTGAATACTTGTTGCAACATAAAGTCCAATTCTTTCCAATTTTGAAGTAACAACTATGAAATTTATCTGAAAATCAGATTTGCCTTGTTTTGGTTTTGTATAGTAAAAACCTGCTTTGTTGACACCATTCTTCTTGTTAAATCCTGGGATCTGCGGTATATTTTGGACCTCCCCGTTCCATCTGCAGCAAAGGTAAAACTGCCTGATCCTGCTGTATTAGTGTTGGGACCCGTGGGATCCCAATACATCATTCTACTGTGAGTTTTTATGAAGGGTTTGATAACTGGCAGCTTGAAAGTATTTGGGATGTGTCCTAAAGACAGCAGAGAATTAACAATATTGCTTTTTCAGTTGTTCAGTGGGTAGCATATATGTTGCTGGATTTGATGTTTTACATGTCTAATGGTTTTCATGTTGTTGTTCCATTAAATTGGTGTTATCATGTTTTTGTTTCTTTCCACCCTAGACCTGATGGCATTGAGAGAGGAGAGTCAAGAACTGAATGAAATGGAAGAGAAAGATCAGGTTGAGAAATGTCATGATTTCATGATTAAAGAACAATCTTTTTGTTACTCATCAACTCATAAAACAGAAACTAAAAACCTTCAAGTTCAGATGAGAGTTCACACTGGAGAGAAGCCTTTCACCTGTCAACACTGTGGAAAGAGTCTCAGAAGAAAACAAAGCCTTAAATTCCACTTGAAAATCCACACTGGAGAGAATCTGTTCACATGCCGTCAGTGTGGAAAGAGTTTTACACAGAAAAAAAACCTTGATACCCACATGAGAATTCATACTGGAGAGAAACCTTACACCTGCAAACTGTGTGGGAAGAGCTTCTCACGGAAAGGAAATCTTAAGACTCACATGAGAGTTCACACTGGAGAGAAGCCGTTTGTGTGTGATCAGTGTGGGAAGTGTTTTAAACAGAAAAGAGAACTTGATGTCCACATGACAATTCACACTGCAGCGAAACCGTTTGTTTGTGATCAGTGTGAAAAGAGTTTCAAATATAAAACACACCTTAATAATCACATGAAGATTCACTCAGGAGAGAACTGTTTTATATGTCATCAGTGTGAAAAGAGTTTCTCACACAGATCAAACTTTGATAATCACTTAAGAATTCACACTGGAGAGAAGCCGTTCACCTGCCCTCAGTGTGGAAAGAGCTTCACAATTAAAGGAAACCTTAAGATTCACATGAGAGTTCACACTGGAGAGAAACATTACAAGTGTCTTCAGTGTGAAAAGAGTTTCACATATCACACAGAACTGAAACGGCATTTGCAAACTCATTCTGGAAAGAAACTGTCATTGTCCTCAGTGTGATGAGGTTTAGAAAAAGAAGCGATTTCAACAATCATCTGTGCATTCACTATGGAGAAAGACTGTTTTGATTGTGATCAGTCTAATGAAAACATCACACTTATACATACATATTAAAGTCATGTAATTGTCAGATCCTGTTTGTGTTCTTTAAGTTACAAAATAGTTTATTAAAGTGTGCTGTTTGTGCTACATTCAAGTGTTGATTAAAAAAAGAATGTATGATGTTAGCATAAAGTGTTTTTTGTTGTTTAAAAGCAGAGGTTCTTCTATATTCAGACATTCATACAACAAAATATTCTGGGAGCCTTTTTTTGTGAAAATGATCAAAAATGCTGGCAACTTTATTAAAAAAAAATAAAAAAAACACTTGCAGGGAAAAAGTTAAAATTCAGTTCAGGGTCAATTTCAAGTATAAAATCAAATTCTTCAATGGGAACATAATAGTATGCTTAAAGTGTTAACATAATACCTAAATAATAAACTATAAGTATAATATTAAGTTCACTTAAAGAAAACTGGAGGAGGGGCTATCAGACTCCATTATTAATCACAGAATCACCTTATAAAATTCATACACCACACGGTTGAGTGCATAGTGCGTCATTTGGGACGCAACTATTGTCTGGCCTCAGGCTAACAGTTAGCTTCATCTTAACTTTATCTACATACATTTCACTTTCATTGTGCTTCAGAGTCTCATTTCGTCTCTCGACACCATTGTTGGTGTAGACGGCCACTCTGAGACTTTCTCCTCTGAAGACACGAACCCATCTCTGATTTAGAAAAGACAACAGTGGTAAATACTCATACCTTTTAGCAGTGAAATACAAAGCCGAAATGGATAATTCGTTCACTTGAATATGTGTTCTCTGCATGTGGGCAGGAATGAAATGCCCCTTTCCGCTGACTGGCCAACCAAACATCAAACGTGCCGTCATCAGTTCTTCCTCCGTTCCACGCAGCAGAATAATAATCATCCAGTGTTATAGATGTACAAGTCCTTAACGCGTTATTGCAACTACATTTCATCTCTCTCTCATCAAACAACCAGAATAACAAACGTCTGTGTAAGGCTCTAAATGACCTATTAAAATAGGTAGCCACTTTGATTTTTATTCCTGAATGAATCAGTATTTTGAACGAATTGGTTGAATAAATTACTCATTCATTAACACAATGGCTTGCCGCCACCTACTGTCGACAATGTTTTCATACTATCGCTTAATTTTGTCATTGTTCTGTATTTAAAATGTTATTATAACATCTATTTAAAATCGCATTCATCCTTTGCTGGGCCGCTTAAAAAAAAATGTGGGGGCATAAAGTATACCCACTGGATGATATTTTGTATAAGGACGGTAACGGTTTAATGAAGATCATAACACTAAATATATATACTTAAAATATATAAATATAACTAAATCAAATCTGCACCCAACATATACCACACATGTTTCTTAATGCACCGCATGCGGATTTTAATGCGCCACACCCTTCTTTTAATGCACCACCTCAGCTTAGGCATACATACATATACATATAGTAATCTTACCGTGAATGAAAAAAAAAAAAACATGAACACTGACACAGAAGCTAGGATAGGGGTGGTATGTGTTGGGTATGTGTCATTATTACATTATTATTATTACTATTATTATTATTGATATTACTGTTGCTGTCATCACAAGGTATTATTGTTATCACCATCTTTAGTATTATTATTATTATTATTATTATTATGCATGCTAGTACTACTTAAATACTACTACTATTATTCAGATTGTCATTGCTGTTTATTTTCATTGCTGTTATTATCATTGCTGTTCTACTGCTGTTTTGTGTTTTTTGTTCACCGTATGTTGTATGTTTTGCAATTCAAGCTGTTTTATCCATTTTGGCTTCGTTGTATTTCGTTTTGGTGCATAATGGGGAGCAAAACACACAAAACAAGAAACAGAGTGTGATATAACTCCCCCCTCCCGGAAGGCGTGTCCCGCGCCGTACAGCATCCAACAGGGAGGGGGGGATGGGTGCTCTGGAGGCCTCTAGGAGCAGGGTTCCAGGACAGAAGGCCTCCAGGGCGGCGCCCGTTCCGGGACCCATGGCAGAGCAGGCAACTCGGGGAGCCATGGCGGGTCAGGCAGACTAGGAGGCCATGGCGGATCAGACAGTTCAGGAGGCCATGGCGGAGCAGACAGTTCAGGAGGCAATTGAACCCCCCCACCCCAAAAAAATACTTGGGAAAGATTACGGGCTCCGGGCCAGGCATAGGCACCGCAGCCCTCTGTGGGCTAAACACAGGAACAGGAGCCCTACGTGGGCTAAACTCAGGAATAGGAGCCCTCCGTGGGCTAAACTCA